TATATATATATATATATATAATATTATATAAAATTATAAAATTAGTTTTTAATAATCTTTAGCATTTTAATATTTTATAGATTTAGTATACGATGAATCTTTATTCATTGTTATAATTTACATATATATTAAATATTAATATATTTATTTACATATGCAATAAATTTTCAAAAAATGAAAAATCATATATAAAATATGATAAAATAGTGTAAAAATATATGTATATTTGACTGAAAAAATATATTTTGATGAAAATATTAATGAATCTAGGGAATTTTTTAATATCAATGCATCAGTCTGAAATATATATTGAAATACTGTTTCTGTTCCTATATTCCGCACGTTTGATAGCAGACGCAGCCTTTTCTAGGGTGGCCTATGTGCAACGAGGAGTTTGTAAATTTCGTCATTATAAAATATAAATTTCTCTATTAGAATGACCATGATTTCAAAGGCTGCAGTGGGTATTGCTGTTGGTATAGCTGGAATATTTGTTGGATATTGCTTTTACTTTGATCAAAAGCGTCGTAGTGATCCTGATTTCAAAAAGAAATTGCGTGAACGTAAGTCTAAACTATACTGTTCTCATATAGCTAATTTTTATGAACTATGTCTTTTTTATTTTATTCATGGTTTATATAAAAAACTCATGTAAAATTTAATTGTTTCAATAATAATTATTAATAAAAAATAATTATTTTTAAAAATCATATTTTTATTTTTTGTTAAATTTTATAGTAAATTATATTTAAAAATTTTTTTATTTATTTAAAAAGTAAAATAATTGTTCAATACTATTCATTGTTCAATATTATTCAATAAAATTGATATATTGATATTATATATTAAATAGTATTATTATTTCATAATTACAGGTAGAAAAGCAAAAAAACAAGCACAGAATGCTACTTCAAAGATTCAAGATTTAAAAGATCATGAAGTTGTACAAAGATTTTTCCTACAAGAGGTTAATATTATATTTTAATTAATATAAAAAGTTAATAGTTTAGTTGTTATAATATATATATATATCTATTATATTTAATGAATTTTAAAGGTGCAATTAGGAGAAGAAATGCTTTCATGTGGTGATATAGAAGGAGCAGTTGAACATTTAGGAAATGCAGTTGCAGTATGTGGACAGCCAGCACAATTGTTACAAGTTCTTCAGAAAACACTGCCACCACAAATTTTTCACCTTTTATTACAACGATTACAACCTATTAGTCAGGTATGTAATTAAATATAATTTTTTAATAAGACAAAATAAAAGATTTTTTTTCTCATTTATTGTTACAGAAATTATCAACACAAATTGCAATGGCTGAGGAAGATGTTGAGTAAAGTACTATACAAATTGCGTTGAATAATTCAAAATAAAATTTAACTATTAGTAGAAAATGTATGTTTTTTTTTTTTTTTGATGATGTAGATCATTTGCATAACTTTAATTTGGTCAAGCTTTTTAATTATATATCTTGGTCTCCTCATCTAAACTTCCATATAATCCTTGGTAATTATATATTATCAATGAAAAACATGATTCACTTATATGCATTTAAATTATAAATGGAAGAAATTTTTGTATTAATTTCTAAATACAATCTATTTAAAAATTTTTATTAGCTATTTTTAAAATTGTGACTGCCATATTAAGTTATACTGTGCAAATAAAATATGTGTTATTTAAAGTGGCAGCAATATACATATACATATATATATATATATATATATGTATAATATATATATAACATAATCTAGAAAGATCTCTAGTCATACAAGATTTTCTTTATATCTCTTTACATATATGACTACAATAAATTATTCATATTTGTTAAATGTTTCACAATTTTAAGAGTGAGCAGAAGTGGAAAAATAATTAAAGAGTAAATTGATCTTGTTCTGGAAACTAATATATTTAATCTTATAGAAGTTTCAAAATAATTTTATGTATTAATTGTTATAATATGTTAAATACTATGCTCCCCTATTAAGGAATTCATGTGAAATGTGATCTTAAATAATACGTTATTTCCTAGAAACATTTATAAATAAATAAAAAAATACTATTGACTATATATTCATAATGAATATATTTTATAGAATTTGCACAAAAAAAAAAATTATGCAAATATGTATTCTATCTTGTGAATATAAAATTAATGTCCTTATAATAGATGTATCATTATAAGCATATGTACATGACATTATTTTCAACGGTACTCACTAGCATACTAAACACTTTATAATTATTTTTTGTATAAAAAAATGTTCTATTCTTATATTAAACAAGAGGCAATAAGAAAGAATCTGTTTATATCTTAGTATCAAATAAAAACTGTTTTTCTTAAAAAAAAAAACTGTATCATGCAAAGATAAATAAATGTTATTAATAAAAAAAAATTCATAAATCTTTTCCATGAAAATATTTTACATGAATATAATAAACTTCTATATGAACTATTTTATATGAATATAATCATTAACAAAAAGATCATATTAAATATATTATAAAAAAAATATGATAAAAAATTATTAATTATTGAATATTTTTCCTTTGAATGAAATAAAATATAATATATAATTTTTTTATATCCTTTAATTCTTTAAAATTTATAATAACACGTAAAATATATAAAATTTTACAAATATTTATGTATGATTTATAAATTTTTTTTATAACGATCTATTAATAATTAATAATTTTTAAATTAATTAATTTAATAAATAATTGATCTATTAAGATTTTTATATTCTTTTATATCCATGAAATAATTATCAGAAACATTTCTATATTCTGTATTCCTGAGATAAATGACAAATCGGCATAATGAATAAAAATAAAAAAAAACAATAAAATATCAAAGATATAATCTCCATAATAAAAATAATAAAAGTAATAGATGATATATTACTTTATCATATAAGTGCAATGATCATTTACTTGAAACAAATTTACTCATTTTACTCAATATAAAAATATTGTACAATTATACATTATTATTATCATACTATTAAAATATAAAAAAAAAATTTTATATATTTTTCTTTATGATATAATATTTTATAAATTTTTATTTCACTATAATATTTATATTAATATATTTTATATAATTAGTTTTCTTGATAATGACATCTGTTTTAAGAAAATAGATATTTATATACATGAATTATGAAGCTTCATATATGATATATTGCATTCATAATTTTATTTAAAAATATGAAACATTATAAATTATTATGCATAGGACAATAATATTTTATATGATTTTTAAATTATAATACGGCAGTGTATAGCTTTTATTTTAAATTGCGTTTAATCACATATATATATAATAAAGTCTGTATACAATTTTTTATTTATGAAACAACAAATGGAATAAAATCAGAATATATTATAAATAAACTTATTAAAATAAAGATTGTAAATTAAACGATATAATAAACAATAATTTTAAATTGTGATAAAATGAACTAGAATTTTTATAAGTTTTATAAGTATTTTTTGTACTTTTTTCATATTAATTAATTATGAAAATATTAAAAATCTTTAAATGTGAATTCCTAAATTTTGTTTTCATCATCAAGAAAAACTAATTTTTATATTTTTTCATAACTATTATTAGCTATTTTGAATTTAAAATTTCATTTCTTGCTTCTGCCATAACATCTAAAGCATTTTTTTCTATAAGATTTTTCCCAAGATCTTTACCGAGTTGTTCAGCACCCAAAAGACTTAAATTGCTTACTTTGCCAGGTGCTACACTACAGTAAAGTTGCGGTTCTCGATATGGACATTTCCTGTTGTGAACATTATATGAATAATATTTGTGTACTAATTTTAATTTATAAAATTTTAATTATATTTACTTACTTTGGAGGTTCTCCATCATCATCAGGTATATACAATTTACTTTTAGAAGTATCTTTGATAAATTTTTGTCCATCTAAAGACCACACAGCACCAGTAACAGTAAGAATTTTGTTTTTTAAGGTTGAAGAAACAGCAACTGGTGCTGAACATCCTCCACCTAATGTTTTCAGAAATGAACGTTCACATACACATCTTAAAGTTGTTTCTACATCATATAATGGTTCTAAAAGAGACAATATTTTCCAATCTGTCTCTCGACATTCTACTCCTAATGCACCTTGACCAACAGCATATAATACTTCTTCTGGTTCTAATAGCTATGGATGTTAAAAAGAAAAGAAAAATAAAAAAAAATTTATATAAAAATTTTATATAAACTTGTAATGAAAATTACTTGACTTATTCTATTTTCCCAATTCATTCTTTTTAAACCAGCAGCAGCCAAAATAATTGCTGCAAAGGGTCCATTTTCATCATCTAATTTTCTTAATCTAGTATTTAAATTACCACGAATATTTTCCACTTTTAAATGTGGCATATTCCTAGCTAATTGAGCTGATCTACGTAATGAACTAGTACCAATTACACTACCTTCTGGTAAGGTAGATAATGTCTTATTTTTATACTTTTTAGACATAACAACTGCATCACGTGGATCTTCGCGCCTGTAAAAATATTTATACTAAATATACTTATCAATTTTTAAATAAAATATTAAAAAATTTGTAAAAATATTATTATATTCAATTCTCATTTTAAATATTTAATTTAAATCTTATATATAACATATTACTTTGAAAACAGTTTTAATACAAAAATTATAACAGTTAACATGATTTTTAACATATAATTTACTTCTAGCATTGATAATGATTATCAATAATATATAATTTTTTAATTATTTTGATAATAATTAAACTAAAATTATAAATTAATTTTAAATTAGTTATAAATTTATATTAATATTTATAAAAATATTATTTTTAATTAAAGCAATTAAATATAATAGTTTTTAATTATTTTATTTTTTGAAAGATTTTCTTGAGATTTAATAAATGTCTTTTATTGAAATAAAAAATAATATTTTATTAATAATATTATATTATATTAATATTAATATTTAATTAAATAATTTAAAAATAATTTTTAATCAATTATTTTTTTAAATTTATAATATAATATAAATTTATAATATGTCTTCTTTGATTTTCAATTTTTTTAAGTAAAAAAAATAAAATAAAAATATATAAAAGTATTCTGTATTTAATAAAATTTAGTCAAAATAATTTTATATAAATAATATGCATTTTATATACGATATATTTTTTCGTGAATTTGATAATTTTATCATAAATTTAAATTTTAGATATATAAATCATTATTCTAAAATAAGAATAAAATATTATATTTGTTTTAACTTATTTCATAATTTAGTTTTATACGCACTTTAATATTGCACCTAAAGCCATTCCTTCTGGTAATGATGTAGGTAAATCTTTTAATGAATGTACCACAAAATCAACACGTCCACTTTCAAGGGCAAGTTCTAATTCTTCTGTAAATAGAGATTTTTCTCCAATTTTGGGTAAAGATTTATCTAAAATTTTATCTCCTTTGGTAGACATTGTAACTAAAAATTAAATATATAACTTCATAACTTTTTATTCAAAAATTAATTAAAAACTTTAAATAATTTTAATATAAATATACATTCAGAAAATTATAAAGGTATTTTATATAAGTTATATAAGTTTAAATATTATATATATAGTTTATATATTACATAAGAATATTTATATATTATTATTTATTGACAATTATATAATAAAAAACATGTATATTAATGATATATAAAATATTATATAATATTTAAATATTTATAATGAACAAATAATTAATAATTAATAAGTATAATATAACAAATAAAGACAATTTTTTAAAATAAATTTTATGTATAGTTTTACTTACTTATTTGAAATTCTTTTGTTGGATGATATTCTTTTAAACATTCTATTACATATTTTGTTTGCTTCAGAGCCAACTAAAAAATTATAGTAATTATTAAAGTATATTACAAAATGTATATATATTAAATATATAATTTTATTATATTTTTTTTATAAAACATAATTACTATAGGAAATCATGTAATATTTATTAAATATGAAATGAAAATTTGTTTTTTTTTTTTAATAAAAAAATAATAGATGCAATATCAAAATTGCTGACTAATGTAGAATAATAATTGTCAGTCGTCAGTCATTATACAAATCATATGTTATTTTTAAATAAAATATGATTTACTACTTTTTAAATAAATTAAAGAAAATTTATATATTTTGTAATATAATTATAGAAAAAATATTTTTTTTTTATTTCTTTTATATTCTTAAAATAATCGTAATGTATATTTATTTAATTGTCACGTTTGATTATAAAATTATAAAAATTATAATGTTAAATAATAGTGAATTAAAAAAATATATTATATAATTATACTTTCTCGTTTTAGGTAAAAAATTAGTTTATTCGTATATTTACCTCGCTTTTTCGAGATCCAACTCGGATTACGTCACGTGCATCCATACTCGTCATTATCGCAATTTAAATTTTTTTTTGTATATTATTAATTATTAATACAATATTATCAACAATAATTATTATTAAATTATTTTATTATTATAAATTTCTATCTTATTTTGGAATGTAATAAATATATATTATGTCCAAGAGACATAAAAGATTGAATTAGGTCAAAGACATGAACAACTTTCACTATTTGTAAGTAATCTTAAATACAACATATAACTCCAATATTTTAAAAAATATTTTTTAATTATTATGAAAATTATATAAAAATTTGAAATTTATTTCACAGTTACTGTCACTGCAGTAGAACGTGAATGTATAATTAATATATAAGTATAGAAAGAAAACTACATCCTCACGCACGTTACTCTCTTTATAGCACAAACACTGAAGAATGCGATTTGAGT